GAGCCCGATGCGGGACTCGATCCCGGGACTCCAGGATCATGACCTGAGCCGAAGGCAGTCGCTTAACCAACTGAGCCACCCAGGCGCCCTCTCCCATGATAAATTTACCCTATAGTCAAACTGTGAAATGACTTCTAGGGAGAATACCAAGAATATTTCAAAGACCTGCATCCTTGAGTAGCAATTTAGCCAGACTGATGGCATTTATCTCATTTATTTTGCTAACTGTTGTGGAGACATCTGGCTGATTTTAAAATCTCCTTGTTACTGCTAACTACATGATGGAAATTTTTGTGTGGGAACTCTCATGTGTTATACATGTATACACACACACACACACACACACACAACGGGAACTATTGTGAACTATACATATGTCCTGAAAGTCAGAAGCCTCTTGCTCCCACAGGAGAAAATAGAAAGGTTTACTGTCACTGTAATGTGGGGGTTATGCATGTAAACCTTGGGGGCAGACAAGTCTAAGTTTTAACTCACAACTCTGGTACTTACTAGCTGAGGGATATTATGGAAGTTACATAATTGCTTCTCTTTTCTCATCTGAACAGTGAGAATGAAAATAGTACTTATTTCAAAGGTTGGGTTGCTGTAGGAATTAATGAAATAAGATAATGTATGCAAATGTAGCACAGTGCCCTGCAAATAGTGAGCATTCAAACTATTCTTATTATTAGAAAGGATTGGGATTGGCTTTCTAATTTTATAACTGGCTAGCTGCGTAAACCTGACTAATTTACTTAATCTCCTTGAGACTTTGTTTTCTCATCTGTAAAATAGTGATAATATCTTCCCCTACAGTATTATGTAATATTAAACAAGCACATGCACACTGTGATCTTCTATAAAGGAGGAAAGACTTGCCTTTGCCCTTCTTCCAAAGCCACCACCACCAAAGAAATGCTTTAGTTCAAGTGCTTATCGCTGTTAATAGGCTTGTCACTGTTGAAGACTATTTGATTCCACTTAGGATTGATTTCCAAGTCTAGTTATTATTTTATTTCTATCCCTTGCCTGATGATGGTGATAGTACTATTTTCTCTGTGGGTTTAGGGCGATTTATCAAACTTCAAGATTATTTGATTCTATACTACATTTAGGAACTTACAATGGGCATAACCAAAACGCTTATGTATAAAATAGTATTAAAGGAAATTCTCCCCAAGATCCCAAACCTATTTGCTTTCATTTTCATTTTAATAGAAGCAAATTTAAAGCTGAGTTATTATACAGAAATGGTTGTTGAGGAGAGCATGCTGAAACACATCTTTCTACAATCCTATACCCCACTTCTTATGACTAGCTGTTCATACACAATGGTCTCATTGGCAGGCAGTTCCAAGATCAAAATGTTTATCAGGTAAACATAAAAATTTCTCTATGTAAAGTTTCAATCTATTTCTAAATTTTTTGGAATCTATTAATGCTATACTTTTAAAAATCTGACACAAATACCAGATTTTCAAAATATTCTCTATGTAAAGCTTGAATTTCTCAATGATCTTGATCATGGTAGTTTTTTGTTTTTGTTTTTGTTTTTCCAAATGGCTGGTTGAGAAATAGCCACTTCCCTAGTTTGCATAAAGCTAATTAGTTTAGGGTTTGTTTTCCTTCAACAGATCATTCTGCAACTATTGTTACCATAGAGGATGAAGATGAAAATAAGTTCGTGAGCAGACTGATGAGGGAAAATAATAATATTACCATGAGAGTTTGGCTTGGATTATCTCAATATTCTGCCGGTAAGTGACATATTTGTGTGCACAGTGTGCAAAGAGTTCCAACTTGTCCTAAATACCAAGTCAACCTTGCTAAAGAGTGTTAAGTGGTGGTTAATTGAAATGCTCCTTATTGACGAATAAGCTAGGTCTGCTGGCTGTTTTGGAGACTTATAAATTCCTAATGAATATGCGAGTGATGTATTAGTAATGATGGAAAACACTAATGAAGTAGAAGATCAGGTTAAATGAATTGGGATGTTCTAGAGGTTTAAGATACTTGGGTTGACAACGTATTTTTTTCTCCGACAGCAATATCTGTGCCCCCCAGGCTCCCACAAAGAACTCATGACTTACTTCCCTTAGAGTTCTAGTGTCTCTCACCTGGGCTTTTGTAGCTTATAACTGTTTTTCAGAAGGTTCTCTTCTTGTTGTTCTCTTCCCTCTTGAAACATTTTTACCAGAGAGAAAAATTTTCTTAAATGGTTATTTTGTTTTTCAAACAAGCTTAATAAAATTACAGAGAATTGGTTAAAAAAGATTTGTGGAAGAAATTTTCAAGGAATAATGGATTAATCCAAGCAATAATGGATAAAAGATTTGAGTGAACTTTAGAATTGATAAAGAATGAATTAAGAGTACAAATTCATGGGGCGCCAGGGTGGCTCAGATGGTTAAGCGTCTGCCTTCAGCTCAGGTCATGATCCCAGCGTCCTGGGATCGAGCCCCGCATCGGGCTTCCTGCTCAGCGGGGAGCCTGCTTCTCCCTCTCCCTCTGCCTCTCTCCCTGCTCATGCTCTCTCTCTCTCTCTCTCTGTATCTCTGTGTCTCAAATGAATAAATTTAAAAATCTTTAAAAAAAAAAGAGTACAAATTCAGTAGAATAGGAAATATGTTTTACATTTTAAGCTAAGGTGAATTCTAAATAATTGAAATAAATGTGAATCCCAAAATATTAAGTACTTGTCAAAAAGTGAATGGATTCAAAGTTGGCCATCTAAATGAATTCTAAATTGTGTTTACACTATCACCACAAGGTGGTGCTATCTCAGCTGGAAAATAAAAATGGAGTCATGGTGGGAAACCCCTCCTGGACCCTCTTGACCCTTACTCCCCCAGCACATCTTTAATGATACGAGTTTTTTAGTTGGGGGTGAGGATGCTGATGGGGATTCAGGTCTTTAGAAATCTATCTCTCGGGGCACCTGGGTGGCTCAGATGGTTGAGCGTCTGCCTTCGGCTCAGGTCATGATCTCAGGGTCCTGGGATCGAGTCCCGCATCGGGCTCCTTGCTCAGCGGGGAGCCTGCCTCTCCCTCTGTCTGCTGCTCCCCCTGCTCGTACTCTCTCTCTCTCTCTCTCTCTGGCAAATAAATAAATAAATAAAATCTTTAAAAAAAAAAAAGAAATCTATCTCTCACACAATCAAAGTGCAAGCATCCTGCACTTTAATCAAAACACCACATTTTATATCAGTGCTAATAGAACTTTCTGCAAAGATGGAAATGTTCTATATCAGTGCTGTGTAACAGAGTAGTCACTAGCCACATATGGCTATTGAGCACTTGAAATGTGACAAGTGCAACTGAAGGACTGATTTCTTTATTTATTTTCACTTTCAATAAGTTTCATTTTAAATAGTGACATAGCATAGTTCTAAGTAAATGAGTTGTATGCCATTTACCTTAGAAATTTAGAGGCAGCTACCCTATGACCCAGCAATTACACTACTAGGTATTTACCCCCAAAATACAAATGTAGTGATCCGAAGGGGCACTTGCACCCCAATGTTCATGGCAGCAATGTCCACAATAGCCAAACTGTGGAAAGAGCCAAGATGTCCATTGACAGATGAATGGATACAGAAGATGTCATATGTCATATCACACACACACACACACACACACACAATGGAATATTACTCAGCCATCAGAAAGGATGAATACTTACCATTTACATTGATGTGGATGGAACTGGAGGGTATTATGCTGAGCAAAATAAGTCTATCAGAGAAAGACAATTATCATATGGTTTGACTCATATGTGGAATATAAGAAACAGGGCAGAGGACTGTAGGGAGAGGGAGGGAAAACACAATCAGAAGTCATCAGAGAGGGGGAAAACCATGAGAGACTCTTAACTGAGGGTTGCTGGAGGGGAAGTGGGTGGGGAGATGGGGTAACTGGGTGGTGGGCATTAAGGAGGGCACGTGATGTGATGAGCACTGGGGGTTATATGCAACTGATATAGTATGGAACACTACCTCTGAAACTAATGAGGTACTATAAGTTGGCTAATTGTATTTAAATTTAAAAAAAGAAAAGAAATTTAGAGGTAATAAACTTAATTTTTTTCTTTAGATCAGTCTTGGAATTGGTTAGATGGATCAAAAGTGACATTTGTCAAATGGGCAAATAAAAGTAAGAGTGGTGGTGGAAAATGTAGCGTTTTGTTAGCTTCAAATGAAACTTGGATAAAAGTTGAATGTTCACAAGGCTACGGAAGAGTTGTCTGCAAAGTTCCTCTGGGTAAGTATGGAACCTGTCCTTAAGGAATATTTTTTGAGGAACAGGTCAGGAAATAAATGTGCAACTCAGTTATGTGCAAAGTTTTGTACTGGGTCCTAAAGTCCTTATTTAGTCCTTAGCATAGTATATCCAAAAAACTTGATGAAGCCATGCAGATTTTTTCTGTCAGAAAAATAGATTGCAAGAGATAGAAATGCCAAGATGTCTAAGACTCCCAGATGAAACTACTAGACAGCCTAAAGTTTGTATAATTCTTCCCTAAGAAAAGTAGAAGCTGCCAGAGTATTAGGGAGCTCATTTCTTTGAATATGTTCTTAAGATGTATTTGATTCTATCAGTCAAATATGTAAAAGCTCAAAGGTCTAATTCTGCAGTTAGTTTGCTTCCTTTCTCCTCATTCCCATAAAACTCATGATTAATTTAGCAACAGTGCAAAACTGGACTTAATTACTTAAAATTTCCTGGAAGGAGTATCTATAGGAAGTCATAATTTAAACTTAGATTTCATCATGAATTGACATATAAAATAACCATAAAAATCTTACCTTAATTTCATTTCTAGAGAAAGGAGCTATAAATTTTTCACAGCAACAGTTTTGAAGATTTAGCATAAAAATGTCTTTTTGGTGTGTAAATATTAAATATGAAACCCCAATGCTAGATGATTGGTGTTTGTATATTCATGCATTGATTCAGAAAATATTTGGAGTGTCTGCTTATACGTCATGCCCTGTTTTGTGTGCTGGGTAGGGGGATGGCTACTTTCGATTAGGTTATCAGGGACGACATCTAAGAGCAGGAGACACTGAGGCTGAGATCTGAAAGGCCAGCCAAGCAAAGATCAGGGGAAGAGGCCCACCAGGCAGAACTACCATTTGGAACAAAGAGCCTAAAGCAGAATGAGCTTGATGAGTGCTCAAGGAAGATCTGAAAGGTAGGCAGGCACCAGACACCCAGGAGTCTGGAAGCAAGGGTCAAGAGTTCAGGTTCTATGCTGAGTGAAATGGAAAACAACTGGAAGATTATGGGGGGAGCTGGGGAGCAGGGTTATGGTGGCATAAACCAAGAGTTCTGTTTTGGCATTCTGAGCTGTCCATACGGAGAAGAGATATTCATATGGAATGTCTAGCATGCAGTTGGACATATGAGAGAGAAGAGAGGTCAGCATAGAGATAGTATTTAAAGCAAGGGGACAAACTGAGTCTGTCTGGGCAGCATGCAAAGGAGAGGTCTGGGACAGCATTTGAAATTGAATAGCTTGGAGCTAAATGAAGTCATCCTAAAGTCTTAAATTTGCTTTAAAGCAAATAACACTTTATTTGGCCCTAGGTAAGTCAAACACAAAAATTTACAACTTTTAACAATTTGCTATCAAAGTAAGGTAATACACTGGATGTGATGTTCTTGAAAGGGTGATGGGGAAAGTGAGAATAAAGATAATGCTTTAACTTCTTTAGAAGAAAATTGCTAAAACAAGGAATAGGATTTAAATGAAAGGGAAAAGAGTTAAATCTGAAAAAAAAACGCCTGAGTGTTTGATGATGGAGTTTGCATTCTGTGTTAATGCTATGAAACAATCAGGCACTTCTTGTGTTTTGTACAGAGGTTACACACGTGACACACAGCCTAATGTATAAATCAATAATGATGACTTTTATATTCTCTCCTCCAATGTCAAACCTTTTCCTATTCTAGGCCCTGATTACAGAGGAATAACTATCACATTTGCTGTGCTAAGTGTCTTAGCTCTCATCAGTGCACTGGTTTGGTTCCTCTTCCAAAGGAACCGGTCGCACTGGCCGGGCTTCTCTTCAGTTCGATATGAACAAGGAATGAATGAAGATGAGATTATGCTTCCCACTTTCAATGACTAAATTCTTCTAAGAGTTTGCTAATTTGCACTAACGTGTTAGGGAAAATGAGCCATTTCGGTTTTTCCCAGTGTCAGTATTTACTCTGTTCTAAAGTACAAATCATAAGTACTTTTTCAGTTGTTTAATTGCTGTGCTGGTATCTACAGTGAATTATCCACAAAATGCCATGTTTAAAACTTTACTTAATAGAATGGAGAACCTTAATAGAATGGAAAAGAACCAAAGCTGGAACTAAAGTCCAAATTATTTATAGGGTGATAAATTTAATGTGCATTTTTCTCTGTAAGAATGTAGTTAGTAACTAGGATATGTATATATGAATAGCACAACTGCTTAGAGACTTAAAATTGGCATGTTACTAGGTCATAAATCTACCTTTTAGCTTTTAAGAATATTTAGCTTAGGGGCGCCTCAGTGGCTCAGTCAGTTAAGTGTCCACCTCTTCATCTCAGCTCAGGTCTTGATCTCAGGCTTGTGAGTTCAAGCCCTGCGTAGGGCTCCATGCTGGGTGTGGAGCCTACTTAAAAAAAATATCCAGCCTAATGTGAAATTTGTACCTCAAGGTAAAAACATAACTGTAAATAATATCAACATTATTTCAAAATAGTCATTTGTAGCATTTAGGAGAAATTATTAAACAATGAGATATGCTTACTTTTTTACACAGTAAAATAATGCTTTTGGCAAGATGCTTCTTACACTGTTCCAGAGATATTTCATACCAAAATTGTTTAAATGCAAATATTTTGTTTTGTCATAGTTATTCATAAAACAATGGCTTTTAAAGGAAATTTAGTACTTAACATTTTCCTAAAGTGTGAGAACATTGTTTTTACATTGATTTAGATATACTGTAGCAGTGTGTTTTTTGTCTTTTCTTATGTACAATATATAACTCTTTCCTCTTAAAGGGAACCAGCTAAGGATACAAGTTCTTGAAGATTTCATAATTTTTATGCTTTCTATGACATGCCAAATTTTGACTAAGAAATTTGTGTTACTTTTTTGCCCTTTTCTGTAAGCTAGAGAAAAGGGGTCTATGAAGGAAATTGTATATCTTGCATTTGTAAAAATGAAAATTTTACAGTGAAACTCTAAACCTTGTGATTACTACTAAAATATTTTAGATGATAAATGATTAAGGAAACACTGTTTTGTGATTATCACTTTAAATTTTACCAGCAAGAATATATTTTTATATTGTCCATCACCATTGGACATGATGAATTTTTTATTCAGTGTTTATACTTTAGAATATTTTTGTATAATATTCATAGATTTATTTTAAGATTTAGAGTGTTTATACTATGATAAACTTATAATTTTCTAAGACAGTTTTATTATAGTCTAAAACTATAATACAGTTGTCCTGATATATTTTTATTGAATTTGTTAGACTATTCCTCTTGCCCTGTCATCTGCACAATTTTAGCTGTTAAAGACTTTCTTCAAAGAATTAAATCAACTTGATGTGAAAAATACACCTATGCAGGGTGCCTGGCTGGCTCAGTTGGAAGAGCGTGAAACTCTTGATCTTGGGGTTGTGAATTCGAGCCCCACATTGGGTATAGAGATTACTTATAAAATAATAAATAGTAAAATCTTTAAAAAAAGAAAAGTACAGTTATATATAGTAGCGATGCTATAATAAAGTTGTTTTATTTTTTTAAGTAAAACTGTTGTTGGTCCTTGTCAGAAAAAATATCTCTAGGTTGGGTTTTATTATGTTAGGCATATAGTATAACAAAAAATAAGTGTGCAGTTGTTGTAATGCAAGGTATCCTTTATTTAAAGAATAAATGCAATCAGGGGCACCTGGGTTGTTCAGTCGGTTAAGCATCCAACTTGTTTTTGGCTCAGGTCATGATCTCATGGGTCGTGAGATCGAGCCCTGCATCAGGCTCCACTCTCGGCACAGAGTCTGCTTGGGTTTCTCTCTCCCTCTCCCCGTCCCCCTACTCTCTCTCTCTCAAAATAAATAAATAAACAAAATCTTTTTTAAAAAAAGAATATAATCATCCTACATCTCTGAATGTTTGATTTGAGTTTCTTTTTCAGATGCCTTTGACTCAGCAATTCTTAGCAAGTCTTTTAACTATTGGATCAGCAGAAATTCCAATTTTGGCCCACTTACTTCTCATTTTTGGTGCTTCTTCAGGAGATCCTACCCCCATTGCCCAAACCAGGACATTTGTCAGCCACTTTTAAGTCAGTAGGTCACATGTTCAGTTCCAGGCTCATATTTCTAACTTCCACTGGACAATCTACCTCAAAGTCCTTCTCAGCATGACCAGAACTGCCCATATTGGGTTCCTTTTCCCATTTTGCCTGTTGCAGAAGAACTGAAGAAGCCTTTTCCAGTCTTCCCTAGCTTATCCAACCCCCACCTGTGGTCTAACAAAATTGGTCTCTCAAAACCAGGTACCTAAAAAAGCAAGTAAATATACCGACTGATCAGGTACAGGGGACAAATGTAGAAGTGATACCAATGATCACCCTCTTTTTCCTCTCTTCACCCCGCACACAACATGTTCCCCTCCCTGATCCTAGGACAAGATGTCACCATTATCTGGGAGTCCCCTCTGCACATGACTGCAATGGTTTGGTAACCCCCGATCCTTATGCCACTGCTGAGTTTATGCTAGGGAAAAAGATTCAGATTCCTTTATCTTAGGTTCATTTAATCCTAAAACCCTTTTGGAGAAACGAAGACTTGTTATTAGTTCAGTAATTTTGTCTTAAGAAGACAAATTTTAACTAGATCTCAAAGACTTTTTTTTTTTAACTAGACCTCATGATCTATACAAAGTTACATCTAATTCCCTGCATATTCTAAATTAAAGCATTCTTACAATATCTACATTTCAACAGATTTAATATATGTGTATTTCTTTTTTCCAAGCTAAATTAATCACAGGCAGAATTGTAGAAAGTTTTTTTCCAACCAGTTCTACTTCTTATATTCTCTTTCATTCAATATGAAGACGCCATACCCCTCTACTCCCAAGCTAGAAACCCAGAATTCATCCTCACATCCTCTTTTTCTCATCTCCCTAATCCAACAATTCTGTCAATTTTACCTCAGGCTTCTCACAGAGTGGCTGTCTCCATTATCAACTATCTTAATTCAGGCCTTTATCATTTTTCCTGGATTATTTGCATCTCCTCATCAGCCCTTCCTCTTCATCCTGTTTTTCCCACTCCTGGGCCTACAGGAGCTGAAATACACAGAAGAGGACTCACTCTGTTTTTGGCCTAAAGTTATCTAGGCCTCCTCCCTATCTCAGGCCAAAAGGGATCTCAGCAATGCTCGGCCCAGGGACCTACCCCAGGAACCTTCTGTGGGCTGACGATCAGCTCTGGGAAGCCCTAGGGTTTAGGTTTCCGGGCCAAATACTCTTTTAATGCAAGGTAAGATCAAGTAAACATTGTTCCAATTGCTAAACAACAGAGAAGCAAAGTCAGATAAAACTGGACTCTGGAAATTAGGAAAACATTAGTGATCTAAGCCAGTGGAAATGTAGCTAGCGGAGCCAGAATCCAGAGTGAGCTTTGAAGTAAAAGGAAAACTAGAAAATGGGGAAAGTGAAATGCTGAAAAGTATAGTGGAGAAGGAAAGGACAGGGATTGGGTCACAGCTAGAGGGAGGAGGGTGGAAGAAGGTTTTTTTCCAAAGAAGGAGGAAAGTGGTTCACAGGTTTAGAAGCTGAGAGGAAAGAAACCAGACAAATCAAAACAGCCCAAAGAGTAGACAGAGAGAAGTTAATGATGGAGGGGAGAAAGATGGAGTCATGGAAGAAGACCTTGGGAAAGATGGAGGAGAAGGGTGGGTCTAAGCCCACAGAAAGAGGAACTGGGTTTGAATGGATTGGGGAAGCCTGCCTTCCTCTCTGAGGCCACACAAGGAAGACCTGCGTGGAAGAGAAGGGGAGAGCAGTAAGTACTGAAGATTTTTGTCTATACCTCATGCCCCCCATCTCTACTGAGTAGAAAGGGAGGTCTTCTGCTGAGAAACGTGAGTAGCAAATTGGGTCTTGGCTTGAAGAGAGTAATAAAAAATTTGAAATACCTGATCAGAAGAATGGGGGAGGACAATGACCAAGACAAATAAAAGGATCACAGAAAAGGCATATAGGGCCCGGATGAAATTAAAAACCATATATTTGTACTGACAACCATTAGGAAAATTGATTGGTTTCCTCTACCCGTCCTAACTTACTTCAGGAAAGTTGAGGAACAGGAGTCTGTGAAGAAGAAAGAAGAGACCCCATCCTCAAAAATTAAACATGGAATTACCAGGGGTGCCTGACTAGGTCAGTCTGTAGAGCACGCAACTCTTGATCTTGCGGTCATGAGTTCAAGCCCCACGTTGGGGCTTGAATTACCATATAATCCAGCAAATCCCACCTCTGGGTGTCTATTCAAAGGAAATGAGAACAACATCTTGAGGAGATATCTACACTCCCATGTTCACTGCAGCATTATTTACAATAGCCAAGACATAGAAGCAACCTAAGTATTTGTCAGTGGGTGCATGGATAAAAAAACTTTATATATATACATATCTCACACATACATATACAGTGGAATATTATTTAGCCAAGAGAAAGAAGGAACCTAGCATTTGTGACAACATGGATGAAACTTGAGAGCATTATGCTAAGTGAAATAAGTCAGCATCACACTAAAAAAAATTTTTAAGAAAAAAATTTATAATTATAATGGCAATGGATGTTAACTAAACTCATGGCAATCATTTAATAATATATACAAACATCGAATCATTATGTTGTACACTTGAAATTAATATAATGTAATATGTCAACTTATAACTCAATACAAAAAAAAAAGTAAGTAAGACAGAGAAAGACAAATGCTGTATGGTATCACTTATATATGAAATCGAAAACAGCCGAACTCCTAGAAGAGTGTAGAGTTGTGGTTACTAGGGGCTTGGGGGTGGGGGAAGTGGGGAGATGTTGGACAAAGTTCCAGTTATAAGATGAAGAAGTTTGGGGGATCTAATGTGCAGTATAGTGATTATAGCTAATAATACTGTACTATATATTTAAGGTTCTTCCACGTCTTTTAATGACTTGATAGTTCATTTCTTTTTAATGCTGAATAATATTCCATTGTATGGATGTACCACAGCTTGTCCCTCACCTATTGGAGGACATCCTGGTTGCTTTCAGGTTTTAGCAACTGTGAATAAAGCTACTGTAAACATACATATGCAATTTTTTGTGTGTATGTAAGTTATCAACTTGTTCAGATAAATACTAGGAAGCACAATTGTTGACTTGTATGGTAGGAATATATTTAGTTTTGCAAGAAGCTGCAAACTGTTGTGCCATTTTGCATTTCCACCAGCAATGAATGAGAGTTCCTTTTGCTCCTCATCGTCAACATTTGGTTTGGTCAGTGTTTTGGATTTTAGCCATTCTAATAGGTGTATAGTGGTATCTCATTTTTGTTTTAGTTTGCAATTCTTTAGTGACATATGATGTTGAGGGTTTTCATAAGCTTTTTGCCATTTGTATATCTTCTTTGGTGAGGTATCTATTCAGATAATTTGTATATTTTTAAATTGAGTTCCTTGGCTTTTTATTGTTGAATTTAGACTCGATTTTAAAGCACTCTTTTGCTAATGATATGAGGCTATGTCAGGGTCTTACTTGGCCCTGTTTTGTGCATTGTGTTGTCTGGTGCCAGATGCCCTCCCCAGTCAATTTACAGTTGTCTAATTTATACATCTGTATAGCAAGCATCATTTTTGTTTTTTGTTTTTTCCTTAAACAACAGAACTTTATTGCTTCACATTTCTGGAGGCTAGAAGTTCAAGGTAGGAGCAGAATTCATCAAGGGCTGTGCAAGCATAGTTTAATGACACTTAATCCAGGAAACTGGTAACAAATAAAAGTTATCTGAGGGGGGCATTTGGGTGGCTCAGTCGGTTAAGCGTCTGACTTCAGCTCAGGTCATGATCTCCAGCTCAGGTCATGATTTCAGGGTCCTCCCATCCAGCCGCATGGGGCTGGGTGCTCAGTGGGGAGCCTGCTTCTCCCTCTCCTCCGCCCCTACCCCTGCTTGTGTTCTCTGTCTCAAATAAAATCTTAAAAAAAATAAAAATAAAAAAGTAGTCCACGGGGAGGAGGCTTTGAAAAGGTTTCTTATCATTAGACCCAAAGGAGGAATCTGGCAGACACTTTAACCAAGTGATCAAAACTAGCATCACCAATATGACACAGATCGACAGGGGGTCTCTCCTGGGCAGGACACATCACTTCTGTGGTACTCTCGCCAAACAAACAAAAAAACCTGAATGCTGTTCTTCCAATCTCCCTTAAGAGGAAACCTAAGACAAACCAAAACTGAAGGACATGCTACAAAGTGTCCAGTACTCTTCAAACGAGATGGGGGAAAGGGGCGCCTGGGTGGCTCAGTTGGTTGAGCGACTGCCTTCGGCTCAGGTCATGATCCTGGAGTCCCGGGATCGAGTCCCGGGATCGAGTCCCGGGATCGAGTCCCGCATCGGGCTCCCTGCTCGGCAGGGAGTCTGCTTCTCCCTCTGACCCTCCTCCCTCTCATGCTCTCTGTCTCTCATTGTCTCTCTCACAAAATCTTAAAAAAAAAAAAAAAACGAGATGGGGGAAAGACAGACAATGACAGAGGAAATGTCCCGCATTAAAGGACACTAAAGAGTCATCTCGATGCCATATAAAATGATGGATTGGATTTTAGAACAGAAAAAGATCATCAGGGGGACAACTGATGAGATGTGGTAAGGGCTGTAGATTAGTGAATACTATTATACCAGTTTTAATTTCCTGGCTTTGACCATTTTACTGGGGAGTTACATACGATGTTAATATTTAGAAAAGCTGGCTGAAGGGTTATGGAAATTCTTCCGACTCCTTTTGTAACATTTTTGAGAGTCCGAAATTATGCCAGTTCAAATGCCAGAGAGACGTGGAAGAGGCGGCGCGCGGGCGGGCCCTTGCAGCCGGGTCAGCCCCGGGCTGGCCCCCTCCCCTCCCCCTCGCCTTTCTCTCCCCCCTCCCTGCCCCCTCCGCCGGCCGCGTGGGCGGGTTGGTCCGCGCCCCGCACTTCCGAGGAGCACCGCCCTCGGCGTCCGCAGCCGCCGTCATGCCCCGGCCCGCGCTGCCCGCTCTCCCGCTGCTGTTGCTGGGCCTGGTCACCGCCGCCGTCGCGGGTGAGCTGCCCTCCTGCCCCGTTCCCTCCCCGGGAGCCCGACCCCGAGCGGTCGACTTCACCCCCTGCCCAGCGGTGGCTGCAGCCACCCGAGGGTCTCGCCCTGCCCTGCGCGCCCAGCGCGTGCGCCCCCGGGGCCCTGCGTCCCGCCACAACCCGCCCCGCGCCCCCCCCCCCCACCGCCGGGCAGCGGTTTCTGAGAGCG